TTTTTTTTTTTTTTTTTAAAAACATTGCCAAACAACGACACAACAAGTGGAGGATGTGAGCGGCTGCTGGCTGAGCCACTGCTGCCTGGACGTGCCAGAGGGAGAAACTGCAAGAAACGACACCCATCCTACCATCAGGCTTGGTACACGGATTATTTAATGGTAATTTACAGATCTGCAGAAAAGGCTGGTGATCACGCTCACCCATTCATTCTTTGTCTCACACACACAAACACACTTGCCTGCTTCATTTTTTCCCCTTTTCGAAAGAGACTGTTGTTGTTGCTTTTTTGCAAATGCCTGGGAGAGAAGCAGCGTCCGTGGCAGTGCAGAGTGCTCCCAGCTCAGGCTGCTTTGCTGCCTTGCTCTTGGCACTCTTGTTGCAACTGGAAAGAAGGGAGAAAAATAACTCATCAACCTGTGGTGCTGACTGACCTTACACACCTGAAAATGTAGATCGATTGGCACAGCCCCCTCCTCAGAACGGCTGTCTCCAGATCTTTACATTAGCAAGAACAGCGTTGCTATTTTTCTGCCTAGGAACAGTAAGTATAATAGCGTTTTTTAAATCTTTTTTTGCATGACATGTTGGTACAATTTAAAAATAGCAATGTCATTTAACAGTCCGTATTCACCTTCTATCATGTATTAATAGCTACAGCTTGTAAATGAGGGTTCCATTTCAAAGGAGTGTGTGTGTATTTTTTGTGTATGTGCTTGCATGTAGATGTTGCTTCAGTGCACCTGCAGTTGTGTTTTCTTGACACACCATATCATGGTATTTTCACTTGATTGAGCATTGTATGTGCCCATCACCAAATTAAATTCAGTAAGATGTTATGATTGAAACACAGTTCATTTACAGATGAAAATGTAACATTCCTGTTTCTTATGTGTTTCTAGAGATACTCCAACAAAAGCTCTTTGTGTAGATATGTTTCTTCTTGTAATATTTTATATAGCTATATGTAGGTCTAGATATATGTATGTACTCAAAGATTTGAATGCATTGTGTATTGCAGTATTTTTGTTAATGTTTATATGTTACTATCTCAGAAGCATGCATGTGTTTGTGTATGAATGCCAGTGCTTATATGGGTGGGGATTTTGTATCTCTATCTATATTATATGTGACATACCCACCCACATCCTTACCCACAGAGCCGTTCAAAATCTCTGTGCATGTGATGTGGGTGTGTGTGTAATGTAGAAGTGTGAATAGTGTGGGTAGGGGAAGGTTTGAATACTGTGGTAATAAATGACACAGTTTCATTTGATCAGTGTGACCTTTTAGAAAAACAATCCAATCTTTTTCCCTTTTTGTTTTGTTTATTTTTGTGTGTTTGTGCATGTGCCTCAGGTTAAGTGCTTCTTCTGCATGACCATAACCAAAAGGTGACCCATCCACTCCTTTGTGCCCTATGGGGACCTCAGAGCCAGTTTCTCAGTCTTCATCTCCTCCTCCTCCTCCTTCTCCTCCTCCTTCTCTTACCACTGCTGCGGACACCCTGGGTGCTGCTCCCAGGTTTGAGACATTGTTGGCAGGCTGAAGAAAGGATTTGCAAAGACCTCCTCACTGTGTAAATAGAGTGACGGCTGGAATTACCTTCAGCTCCCTGAGTGATGATATTAAATAATAGTAAGATTGCTAGGCCAAAGCATTGCCAGGAACAAATTATGAGGAAAGAGACTATTTGCATTTGGTTGCAATGATAAATTAAAGACCTGAAACATCTCTGGAAAGCAGGTACCTCTTGATTTGCATATTTTTTCTTCTTGTATGCAGTCTTTGTAGCCTGCAAGATGGTCATGAATTTGATCTGATCTGTGATAGCCACAAGAGATTAATGAAAATACAGGGGCTTGATGGATGAAAGGACAAGGTCTCAGCTGTTTCCTGGTCCAATCTGAGAGTTGCATGTACTCTTTTTAACGGAACACAGTGGTTCGTGTCAGACATTCTGGACAGTAAGAAAATGCAGATCTATGCTTTTCCAAAACATAGATTCAGTGTTACTTCTGTGTTGCCCTGCTCTGTGTTCAAGAGACTGTCCTCCAAATGCAAATGGCTTTGAACTTTCTATGGTGAAAGTTGAGGTTACACCATAAATAAACCAAACGACTTAGCACAGAGTGATAAACAAGCAGTTGCAAAATGGAGGTTGCAATGGTAAGTGCAGATAGCTCTGGGTGCAACAGCCATATGCCCTATGGATATGCAGCCCAAGCTCGGGCCCGAGAGAGGGAGCGGCTGGCACAATCCAGAGCAGCAGCAGCTGCGGCTGTCGCAGCAGCAACAGCAGCAGTAGAAGGGGGGGCAACAGGTGGAGGTGGACCATATCACCACTACCACCAGGAACAGAGTCGAGGTGCATCCTCCTCTTATGGTGGGAATGCATCACGCAGCAGCCTGCCCCACCGCCAGAGTGGTAAGAGACGGAAGAAAGGGAAAAAGAGGAGCCACCATTTGGGAAGTAGGGAATATGGGGCCTCCTTCCCGTGTTCAGAGCTGCTGCCTCTCAGTGGCTCTGAAGAGAGAATACTGAAGGACTTGAGTGAGGAGGAAGAGGAGGATGAAGATGAGGATGAAGATGATGAGGAAGAAGGAAAGCTCTACTACACTGATGACTATGGGCATGATGAGTTTTCATTCTCAGACCAGCCACCTGATGATGGTGGTGGAGGCCCTGGGGGTTACAGCTCTGTTCGCTGCAGTGAGTACGAGTGTTGTGAGCGTGTGGTAATCAACGTGTCAGGACTGCGGTTTGAGACCCAACTGAAGACGCTAGCTCAGTTCCCGGAGACGTTGTTGGGTGATCCAGCGAAACGAGGCAGATACTTTGACCCTCTCAGGAATGAATACTTCTTTGATAGGAACCGGCCCAGCTTTGATGCCATCCTCTACTACTACCAGAGTGGCGGCCGACTGAAGAGGCCAGTCAATGTGCCCTTTGACATCTTCACTGAGGAGGTGAAATTCTACCAACTTGGGGAGGAGGCCATGCTCAAGTTTAGGGAGGATGAAGGGTTTGTCAAAGAGGAAGAAGACAAAGCTTTGCCGGAGAATGAGTTTAAGAGGCAGATCTGGCTGCTGTTTGAGTACCCGGAGAGCTCCAGTCCAGCCAGAGGCATTGCTATTGTCTCAGTCTTGGTCATCTTGATCTCCATTGTCATCTTTTGTCTGGAGACTTTGCCAGAGTTTAGAGATGACAAAGAATTCATAATGTCCCTGAGCTTAGGGAAGGGGCTTTCCAATGAGTCACTTCACCTGGATGCTGGGGAGCACACCATCTTCAATGACCCCTTTTTCATTGTAGAGACAGTATGCATCATTTGGTTCTCCTTTGAGTTTACAGTGCGCTGCTTTGCATGTCCAAGCAAAGCACACTTCTTCAAGAACATCATGAACATCATAGACATTGTCTCCATCTTGCCTTACTTCATCACTCTGGGCACTGACCTGGCCCAGGAGCAGGGCAGTAATGGTCAACAGGCCATGTCTTTTGCCATCCTGAGGATCATCCGTCTGGTCAGAGTGTTTCGCATCTTCAAGCTCTCCAGACACTCCAAGGGTTTGCAGATCCTGGGTCATACACTCAGGGCCAGCATGAGGGAACTTGGCCTCCTCATCTTTTTTCTCTTTATTGGAGTCATTTTGTTTTCCAGTGCTGTTTACTTTGCAGAAGCTGATGAGCCTGCCACCCATTTTCAAAGCATCCCAGATGCCTTTTGGTGGGCTGTAGTGACCATGACTACAGTTGGTTATGGGGACATGAAACCCATAACTGTGGGTGGGAAAATAGTTGGGTCCCTGTGTGCCATTGCAGGAGTGTTAACCATTGCTTTACCAGTGCCAGTGATTGTCTCCAATTTTAACTATTTCTATCACAGAGAGACTGAGAATGAAGAACAAACACAGCTGATGCAAAATGCAGTCAGCTGCCCATACCTCCCAACAAATTTGCTGAAGAAATTTAGAAGTGCATCGTCTTCGTCCACAGAAGACAAATCGGAATATTTGGAGATGGAAGAAGGAGTTAAAAAATCCCTCTGTGTAAAGGAAAAAAAAAGTCAGGACACAGGGGATGGAAGTGAGTCAGAGAAAAAAAACTGTGTAAATTCAAATTCTGTGGAAACTGATGTGTAATTTGAACATTTCCAAATATATTTATGCATTAATGAGTGCAGTGAAAAAAACGAAATATGCAAACAAGAGTCCACAGCATACAGTAGTATGCCATTTCATGGTTAAATACAAACAAAAAGCATTGCTAAACTTGTATTACATATCAAGTAAGTGATACAACTTGGGAAAGGGATTGCTAGATCTGATATAGTTTCAGACTTTATATTTTTACTAGAATGCAAGTGTTTTGCACATGAAGCTGAAAAATTTGTTAAAACCAAGTCAGTTTTAAAGTGGGTGCATGAACTGTCGACATCACTAATAACAGCTCAGTGGTAAAAGTTGGCATTCAGAGGTATTTACTATGTAAGAAGCAATGAAGTTTGGTAGTCATTTATCTATTTATCAGTGCTTTAATAGCAGCTACCATGAATCATTGGATACCGTAGTCATTGTTTTTCAAATGGTAAATTTATTGTAAAAAGATATTCTACAGAAGATAGATTTAAATTTTTTTCTTGAACTCTTTAATGCTTGTTTTTAACTGGAAATTTACTTTGAAAAGGCTGCTGAGCCTCCAGAAATTGTTTATTTTTATAACTCTCTTTGGAGGCATTGCAGCATTTGTTGTCTAATAATGAAAGAAGTGAAGTAAGAGAATCATTTAACCTGGTCTGACTGCAAAGGCAAATGACTGGAATGCTTTTTTTGCACTACTTTATATGCTGGAGATATAGTGAAAGAGACTTCATACTGTGAATGTTTACTAATGTAATAGTTCTATGACAATCATTGGAAGAGTGAATTCTGCATCACATTTTATTGTTTTTTTTCTTTGTGATTCTGATGACAAAACAGCTAATATTACATTAACTCCATTCTCTTCTAGTTATGGATATTTGTGATCTGAAAAAGGATTGTGAAGTAAAGTTTTATAATCAAATCTATTTGAAATCAGTGTTTTCTACTGATGCCCTCAAGAAATACCAACTAATTTATCTCTTTCTCCGTATTAGTTCAACATTCAGAATCTATGATTAGTACGTGCACTTTGTCAGTGGTGAAGTAATTCAGTGTATGGGAGGAGAAAGCAGAAGTAATAAGATATTCAGTTGTTACAGTACTGACAATTCACAATTGCTAACTTTTAACGTGCTATTATTGGTGCTGCATTTTTTTCCTTAATTGCAGCTTTCACCCATGTGTATTTCAAGCATCACTTAAGATCCAAAATAGGCATTCTGGGGATTTGAAATTGTATTGGGTCCCATGCAGTCCTTGAGAAAACAATACTTGATTTCTTTTCACTGATTCTTAGATCCGCTGTATTTTACTGTGTGTCAAAAGCTTCCATTGCCCTTTCTAGGAAATTAAGTTGTGTAAAGAGTGGCCTACTGTACATTCCAGACTCCAGAGTGAAATAGGTAAGATATTACTGTACTTAACACAAACCATGGATTCTGAAAAGGCATTTTTTCAGCTTCATAATTATCTATGGAAGATACTACTAAACTGGAATTTTTTTGAGGAGGCACTGTGGAACACTCCAAATTATAAAACTCTAACCAAATTTGCATATGCCCTTTAAGGGCTGGGACAGGCCATTGTAAGAGAAAAAGAGAGCTTAGCAACACTATTGAATTATAGTAGTTTTGCAATATTCATTTAAAACTAAGAAGAAGAATTTATGGGGCAGAACTAGGTAATGTTTTAAAAGTCCTGGAGCCCAAAAGTGACAATAAAGCAGTCCAAACTGTATACCTATAATATAATACATGTAATCTGTCAGATGAGCATTGTTTGCTTTTTGCAGCATCCAGTGGTACAGAATAGAGACGTAGGCATAGGGGTCTCCTTATTCATTGATTTTTGCCTCCCTGGGTTTTCTGTGAGTAACCTCTCTGAAAAAGTTTCTGTTCTTGTCCTCTATTGCAACACCCATTGCATTGCCTATTGAAGCAAGAACTAATAAAAAGCAAGACACAGAAGAGACTGTATTGTGCTAAGCCCTGATCGAAAATTTGTGTGTAAACATCTGATTTCTAATTTAAAATCATAGAGTAGGCTTGCTTCACTGTCTTTTTGACGTGGAGCATTAAGCAGTGCTGTTTGTTGTGGTGGTGATATTAAATCCAACTGAGTTTTGAATGCAGTAATTTGATGCATAGGCATTCACCGCAATTGCATATTGCATTTTATTGTGGCTCATCTGAGTAAATGTACTCAATATTTTTTTCTACAGGGGCAATATCAGCTGTGAGGATGAACAGTCTAGATAATTCAGCAAAAATCTATAACTGAAGGTGCTTCTTTAACAGCTATCAGTTAATGATGTGAAGAATGTAAGGGTTCCCTTGAGAGTTCGTTTGCTGGTAGTTCTATGTGATACCAGAGACCATAACATGGCTGTAGAAGTAAAGGAAATACTAAATAGGCAAATGAAGAGCTTAGGCAAAACAAGTAATACGTGCTTGCAGGATGGGCTAGTTGAATAGGAAAGTGGTTCATCAAGGGTGGAATTTTAGATCTTCGCTCTAATGGAAATAAGGAAGAAAACTCTTTGAATAACTCTTAGAAGGTGTTCACACAGTGGACAGGGAGTTCAGCCTGAGGTACCTGCTTAAGTAGTTACCCAGCTTCTCCAGTCTTATAGTTATTTTGCTACCAGTATGCAACCTATTAAATTAAAGCAAGCATGACAATGTCTGCATTATACTGTGGTCATAGCAGTACCTTATTCTCTGAAGGAGAAGTTCATACTATAGGATCTTGTAGCAGTTGGCAGAGCAACATTCTGGGTATGTCATCAGTGCATACTACAGTACTGTGGAGATGTATCCTAAGGTAACAGTGGAGGCTGCTCTGCCTCCTGCAATGTGGAAGCCTATATATTTGTAACTAGCATTAAAAATAAGAACTGCTATAGCCTGATGTTAGATTGTACTATCCGTTCGGCAGACCGTTCTGAGTCACACAAAGAACTGTGCATTTCTGAATAGAAGCAAATGGTTTCCTTTGGGCTGGCTTTTAATTTGATCATTAAACTACTGTTCAGTCCAGTCAGTTATGACACAGCTTGAGAATGCCAAAGTCTCGCCCTTATCATGCTAAAACCCAAAGATGCTAAGCGTTTAACAAGAAAAAGAAACTCCTGTCAAGTATTGCTTAGGTTGAAGCTATGTGCCATAGAAACCTTGTATTTGAACTCTCGTGGCTCCAAATTACTAATACTGCTCCCGTCAGAGCTTTCTGAATGTTACTGGATACGGACAACTATCAGAGAGAGAATTTTGTTATCACTTGGGCATATTATGTTTTAAATAGTAGTGGTGAAATGCATCCCTGATGTAACTGATGTGAATGGCTTTACACTAGGGAACATTTTAGTTCTAGTAATGTAGTTCAAATGATTTCAAATTGACGTACGTTTCAGCTAAAAAAAAGCAAAATGAGATATTTTGATATTTCACGTTCACTTGCAGTGGTGAAAAAATTTGGAGGAGCTCCATTAGAATTCATGGAATCACAGCAGCATCAGGTCACATTTGAAATATAGGCTGATGCTGAACTTTAAATTGGCCCTTATTTAAATAAATTTGTAAAAGTTTTTATAGTAATGCTAAGTGTCAAGGCCAGATTCCAAAGGAGAGAGTTCTGCAAGCTGAAGTGTTGGATTTAATGCATGACTTCAGAGAGAGGTATTTTTTTCTTAATTACAGTCATGGAGTTTTCTGATGTTACACAGATTCTTTGAAAATTTCAGACTGGATACTGAAATCTGTATCAAGGGAAGTGTTATATCTCCCTGTTTTGGAGTTTACAGCTAAATTTTTGTGTCTTTGTAGTGATCCCAGACTGAAAAAGTTAGTTCTGAGTGTAAATGAATTTTTAGCATAAACTTTACAAAGTTTGTTGATAGTCCTCAAATTAAATATGAACTTTCCGTGGTGCTTTAGACTGTAACTGGCTTCCTCCAACTATTTATTACTAGTTCCTTTTTAGTTCTGCTATCATTGTGTCCAGTTATAAATACAAGCCTACATTTTTTTCAATTAATTGGCATGAAACAATAACAAATAAAATCAGTTTTAAACAGTTCTTAATATCCAGCATATAAATTACATATTTTTATTATCAGACAATAAACCAAAATGACCTTTCATGATATTTGTAGATATGGGACAGGGTATGTATTTCACTATTGCTATAATTGACTGATCAAATGCTTCTGATTTTTGCAGTGAGTAAGATCTTACTTATAGATTTACCATATTTGGTACCTCTGTTTGAAATGAATGCTTGTAGAAAAGTTGGCAATTTTTCTGAAATGAACGTTCCTTCATTTCCCCAGAGAGCATTTGATGAGGAAAAACCTATTGACAAATTAATTTGAGGTTAAGTGCATAAATATTTTGTACCTGGTAACCAGGTATAAGCATGAAACTTTACATACTGCTGCCATGCTTTCTGTGTATTCAGAACTCTGATTACATACTAATTCCTAAAAAAAAAAAATTCATTAAAGCATTATGTACTGAGATGGTGGAATTAATTTTTATTTTTAATCCTTTTCTGTAAAATTATAATGTACCTTGAGACCTTTTTCTGCAACAGGTCCTTTGGAAAATAAATACATAAGTATATACGAAGGAAAGAGGAGAAACCTTAAGTTACATGTCAAAATCTGATAAAATGTTCTAATTGGGGGAAATTGAGGGAAAGCAGGTAAGTAGAAATTTTGTTTATTTATTCCTTCACTTGTGCATGTGTGATATTGCCATGGAAAACAAATTGCAGGTCAATTGGCTAAAAAAATCTGCAACTGCGGAGAGAGGTGCTTCATGCATTGCATCTCTTTCACATATTCTGTGGTCTCGGGGCAGCAGCAACTGCATCTTGGATAGAGGTGCAGCTGGTAATGGTGCACTGTGCAACTGGAAAGATGCTCACTACACCAGGCAGTACCAAGTGGGGTGGGAGAGGGTGCTACAAAGTTTTTAGCCTATTGGTAAATCTGTGCTGCCACCATGACTGTCTTGAGTGCCAGTTTTTAAAAAAACTATTCTTAAATACTTTGTAACCCTTTGGGACAGGGAGGCCTTACACCCTCCAGTCTTCTAGCTTCTAAGCTACAGGGAGACTTGGGTCCACATTCACAAAACGTATTTTTAGACACCTTATTTCCATTCATTTAATTAGGAATTAGGTCACAAAATACTTCTGTATCTGAGACCAAGTGATTTGTTCAGTGTCATAAGGAAGCCTGTGGTGGAGCAGGTTTCCAAAATGTTAACAATGGTTCCTTAAGCAGTGTAGGAAGTGAGAGCACCCATTCAAGATGGATTTAGATCCTTCCCGCCCCCCCCCTTAATTTTTTGTTTGAATAGGCCTGGAGCATTTGTATTGTGAGTAGGGAGGAGGACAGCTAGATTTGGTAATGTGTGTAAAAGGAGTCTTTAATTTCTGATAGATACTTTTTTCCCCTGTTTCTTAGCTGTCAGAATCAACTAACTTACATGTTTTTGACTTAGTCTTAAAACTTTTCTTATACAAGCCATTTCAGTGGGAGATCATAAACTGACTCTAAAATTATCATTCCTGACATGAGCAATAGCTGTAAATGAATGAAATCAAATCACAGGTACTCAGTGTCACTGCTATTCTTTAATTTGGCTTAAATATGCTGACTTTGAGTCCAGTGCTATTGCACTGAAGTCATCTAAAACTTCTGGTGTCAGTGATGGACAGATTGAGTCTTCGTCAGCTGTCAGGTACTGCAATAAGGGCAACAGCTTTTCCTTGTTTTATTTATGTTGATAGTGCTGTATTTATGCTGCAGAGAAGGGATGCTTCAGAGGTCTCTACTGCTCATTTATCTTCACTCCTAGGTGAGCAATATGCTTTAGAAGGACATCTAACCACATGCATGGGGAGGTAGCATTCCTTTTTCTCCTCTGCCTTGGACAGTCGGGGAGTAGGAGGCTTGCTTGGTGCACAGTGGCATATGCTTGCCCTGCGCTGCAGGTCCAGCCATATTTCTTGCTTCTGTTCCGCTTAGATCAGTGAAGGCTTGATTTCAGTTAGAGCCCATGATGTCTGTCTTTGGGTGTGGCTTATCCACTATACGAACAGACTTTAATTTCCATCTTTTATTGTCTCCCTATTGGCACAGCTTTATAATGAAATCAGGGTCTCATTCAGTGACAGTTTCTTCCTGCACAGTGGAACTTGAATACGGAAAACTGCAAAGGACTGTTGATGTGAACTGAAGGTACCTTTTGTTTTCTTGCCCAAATATACTAAGATATGTTTGCCTAAGAACAAGTTATACATTACACAGACTGTACATTTTAGGGTAAATAAACTGGTTTCATTTGTGGGCTTGTTCTCTCAAGGTGCCCTCAGTTTGCTCTAAATTCATGAGGACTTTAAGACGTTGAATATTTTTCAGAAGATCTCAAGTATGAGGGAAAATGATCCCTCTTTGCATTCAAAATGGCAAGGCGTTATTATAAGGCAGAAATCTTGATATTTTTGAGATTAAGGAAGGCTAAGGAACATTAGCTTTTCTGTTAAAGGCTTCCTTAAATATGAGTTGCACATATACACAATAAGAAAAATATGGGTTGGTCAAAGGGAAGAGGTAGAAAAGATTTTTGATAGCATGTTTAAGGGCATCATCATATTTTACTGTGTGCCAAATTACAAGCTCAAATAAATGTTATTCTACCAAGAATCTGTCTCACTGTAGAGAGTACAGGTATTTTATAGAAATTTATACTTCAGAATTTAATTCTGTATCCATTTATTTTTGTTAGTCATTTGTAAGCGCTATTATGATCCAGGATTTATGGATCCCAAAATTAAAGACAAAAATGCTGTAAGGATTTCGGCAAAAGAAAAAAAGAGCAAGATTGAACTCTTTTGAGTATCTTCTAGAAGATAATGTTATTTTGGTACCATTTAATTTGTGAACATCTGCTATACGTGTTATACTGATTCAGTAGGTTAGAAGGCAAAAATACATTCTCTAGCTAGTAAAATTTGTTTTTATTACTCAGTATGAAGGAGAATTAATATTCTTCCCAGCTTTGAAATATGGAGAAAACATTGTGAAAAGAGACTAGGAAGCGGAAATAGTGCCATAGACCTTACATGATCTGTTAAATATTTGTTGCTCCATGACCTGTCTTACAAGAAAGATTCCCAGAATTGATTAGTGATAGTGGACAACTCAATTTAAGTGAAATGGAGTGACTTTGAAGAGGCTTACTTTTGAATAGGTGCAGTGAAAATGCATATAAAATTATCTAATTTGGGGCAACCAGAATTTAAGATGATCAGAGTACCAGCTGCTTCTGAAAATTTCTGTCCTGATGACTCTACTGATTTTGTTTCTTTGGGAGGAAAGAACGCGTTGTTTTATACCCTTTTGAATTTCTGTGGTTTTCTGTAGTTACACTTTAACACTGAAAATTCATATAAAATGAATGGCAATTCATTTTATGCTTAAAAAAAGTGTCAGGGAGCAGCAAGGGCTGCTGGCTGCTCCCTAAGGGATGGGGAGCCAGAAGCTGAGCACTGTTCAACAGCTGTTCAGCTTTTTGCTGCTCTTGGTATTCGACTCTTAAGGATCCCCAAATCTTGTTTCTTCTACATCACCTTGCCTTTCCGTAGCTAGCTCTGCTGTTGGTAGTGTGTCTGTGATTACTCTCACAACCTGTGTTACTGCTTGCTTTATATGGACAGATTACAGTCTGTAGTGATAAACCAAAATGTCTTCAAAGGCAAAGCTGTTTTTCAGCTGTTGAATGGCGGGTATCACGTTCCTAAAGATGCTATCATGTGTTACTGGGAAGCTGGGAAATAATTAACAATGTTCCAATTTGGATTGCTATTTAGAAAAGTGTTACAGAGCTGTGGGTAGTGTTTTTAAAACTTTTGACTGAGTTAATTAGAATTTTTTCTGTTTCACTAGCTAGTGTCACTGTTGGGATTGTTACAGATGTTGGTATCAGATAAACATGCTCAGCTGTTGGATTAGGCGGAGATGTTTATGTTGTATGTACTGTAAGATATCTTAGCTCTGTTACTACCATTTCATGATCGTGTTTTAAACACTTGAGAAGGTTCCTAGAAATTGACTAAATTTTACTCCAAATCTTGTTTTTCCTTGCTTTTTATAAACAGAAGGGGGGAAAAAAATAGCATCTAGGCTAATGTGAACTACTTCATGAAAAAATGCTAGGGTGATCTTCACTTAAGAATAATGTGTTGGCCAAAGGTGGGAGGGGATCTGTGTGGCTTGTACATAGTTCTGAATATAGAAAAAGCCTACTTGTCCAAAAGGAGGTTGGACCCAGAATGTCATAGTTTCAAAGAAAGCCAGAGTGTTTTTGGTCGTATTTATGCACACAGATGGGAAACTGCACGTATTTGAGAGGCATGGTTTTCTGATAATTTACCTTTCATAGGAGCATCCATGTCTGCAGACTCAAAAGGTCTCGAGCATACCAGAGCCCCTGTCAGATCAAGTACCAATGTTGCTAAGTTCTGAGGATCACAAGGCAAAACTTCAGCTCTTTCTGAAGGCATACCTCTTAACAGAGCCTTCAGACACTCTGGTTGCCTAGCCTACTGACAACCCTAGGGACGAACTCCTTTGTTTTCCATCCATTTCCAAATTGTATGCATTAAAAGCTTTAAACCTAAGATAAGATCCAGTCAATTGATTGCAATGGCTTCCTTCCTCTTCCTCTTCCCCTTCCCCTTGGGGAGGGGCTCCTGGGGTCACAGCCATCTGCAACCCCGCAGGGGTTGGGGTAGTGTTCTGAGTATCCTTCTTCTGTGATGAGTTTAGTTTATGTGGGTTTCTGGGGTAAAGAAGTCCCAGGAGATTCAGGAAGTATCAGTAAGTGCAGGACTTGTGTAGAATGACAGAAAACTTCACAAATTCAGCATACTGTGAGCAGAGTTGAGAGTTTCTTCTTCTTATTTTTCAATAATTACCTTTAACAATGTTAAGAAATTAATTAGATTCACAATTGCCTTCAGAGGCAGATTAGTTGTTATATCCTTTTCAGCGTTCAAAATGTCTTGAATTTCCTATTTCTAAGGATTGACATTTTACAGCGTAAAGAATTAAATTGCCTATTTATATTAAAAAAAAAAAAAAAACTATGTAAATGGGAAAAAGCTTTATATCCTGTAACTGCGTGCCATTAAGGTAGTGCTGGAGTGGTTTGCGCTCAGTGTCGGTGGTACACAGTCCTTAGAGGAGTGAAGGGCTGCAGAAGTCCTATTGAAAGTCAATTGGGAGAACTCTTGATGTCAATTGCAGCTTGCTGCTTCAGCAGAAGCAACTCCTTAGCTCATACAGAGAAGTGCCACTGCATTGCTCAAAGTCTGTATACTGTCTGCTCTCACACTGTGTGAAAAGACATGCTATGGATAG